GAATGTAATATTGTTGAAGTGATACTCATAATAACAACTTCTGGTTTTTTTCTTTGCTCCCTTTGTGACCTTTTGGAAGCACTGAATTATTGAAGGAGGATTGCACTGTATCTTTATATTTTCATTAGATTTTGGGATCGCAGGATTTGCTGGTAGGCATAATCAGAATTATCCTAGATGGTAGGCGTGTTCTCATGCCAAAAAATCACTGAGGCCACAGCTCCAAATTCCACAGCAACCCCAAAACAGCCAAAACTATTTGCTTTACAAGGGAGAATTTTTAGTTATACCCAGAATTTTAGGTGTATCCAGAGGCTGTTCCCAACATACAGCTAATGTTGGACCTCTTGATAGTGTACCTCTATTTTAATGAAGCATAAAAGGTGGATGAGGGATAAAAATTATGAATTGATTTATTTATTTTTTTAAAATTACACCTTCTGCTGCACATGGGACTGAGCTTTAGGGCTTCTGCCTAGTCCTGCTGAAGTCACCAGGAAGATTTTTCCAACTCCAGCAGGACTGATTAAGGTCAATTTGATTCTTCTCACTCATCTGAGGTGGATAAACATCCTCGCAGGTGTGGAGCATAGGTTCCAGTCTTAGCCAGGTACAGAACCTGATTGTTTGGGCATAGACAGGCAAGATGGGACTGTGGGTCAAAAACTGCTTTGGAAACAGTTTAATTGATGCAAGACCTGGCTTCATTTGCCCTCACCCTTTCTCCATGTCCATGCACCCCTCAGCTGTGTTTGGAGCTCTCCTGGTGCTTCCCCACCAAGGATTGCTCAAGCTATTGCTAAAAAATAGTTGAGATAACAGAGCTGACTTTGTACTGCAGTGGAAAAGAGGCACTTGAACCATTCCCCAGCTGAACTCCTGGGCTTGGTGGGAGCTCCCAGCAGGAGGAGCAGTAACTTTTAAAATAGCTCTAAAAAGAGGGAGGCAGATTTAAGGTGGCATTTTGGAGACCTCTCAAGGATATCAGTCTGTACCCAGTGAGGTCAACGACAAGAGAGAGGCAACAGGAACAGAAGTCTGTACTTATATCTTAATTAATTTTATGTCTGTGCATTAAGTCAATCAGCTTTTCTATAGCAATGCCAGAGTTTTCAGGGGTAGTTATTGAAATGTGTTTAGATTTTCCCCTATCACCATGAAGAGGGTGGGCTAAGGATGGGCCAAGGTCCCTTTGCTTGGCTGGAGCCAGAGTCACCTGCTAAACTCCCACCTAATTCTGTCCTTAGCAAGGCTAAAGATTGGCCAGAAACATCACAATCAGCTAATTTGTTAGAATTCTGCTTTTTAAAAATTATTATTTTTCAGGTATATACAAGTTAAGACCAAAAAGTGTCTCATTTAAGTATCTTTAAAGGAGACACTTTAGACACTGGCTAAAGTGTCTCATTTAAAGAAATTAATAAAATCTTTCTGCAAATCTCCTGTTACCCCTAAATCAGCTTCATTTAGTGCTAAACCTTCCCTCCTCTTTGCTCCCCCCCAAGTCATTTTTATTCTAATGCTGCAATAAATATTAATGCCTTTCCCAGATGCAATATCTTAAAAAAAAATTATACATACGTATATATGTATATGGGTATATATATGTATATATGTATATACAACATATATATATGTATATATGTATATACAACAACCTTCCAAATACTTCATACAGATGCCCACTTGCAGCTCAAATTTTACTGGAGGAAGTCTGAAAAAGAGAAAAAGAAAGGTGTGGTTCGACTAGGATAAAAAAAAGGAAAAAAGATAAAAATCCTGTGTGGGCAGCTAAATTAAATTAAATCTAAATTTTGGGGTGATAGGAGGGAAATTATCATAGTGCAGCATACCCAGTGATCTCCAACAAACATCCTAGCAAAATAAATATAAATTCTGCCACGATGTTTAAGTACTAAAAGAGAACCCAGCACATTCTGGTATCTTGAAGCAGCAAAAATGTCATCATTTCGTGCTGCTCATCAATTCTGGAAAGTCAAGGCACCTCTCCCCAGCCTGCCCGGGTTAAGAGCCAGGCTGAGCCTGCCGGGCTCCGAGGCTGGGATGTGTTTGGTGCGGAGCAGCCGGGGAGGGTGGGCAACGCTCCGCGCTGCGGCAGCTCTGGGACCGGGCAAGTTTGGTTTTTTTAATGGCCATTGCCCCCCTCGGCACGAATCAGCCCGGATTTGATTGGAATTGAAGCTTCATTTTCAAATGTGCTGGTGGGTTGTGTTTGCTGGGGGTCTGAACCCTGGTTGTCTGTAGGTATTTAGCAGAAAAAGGGGATTTTTTGTTCCTTGTCACGCCGCGTTGCTGAGTATGCTCGTGGATGCTGTTAGATGTACATTTGGAATTTTTGCCTCTCTGTATCTGCCTTTTAGGGGTTGTGTCACTCACAGTCCCCCAGGATCTGTTCTCTTCCCAAAATCAGTCCAGCTCACACAGCAAGATCTCTCCCAAACACTTTTCCCTGCTCATTTTCTTCATTCTTTAGTTCATGTTGATAATTTCTCTCATCTCTATCAAAAGGGATGCAAGCATTCAAAAAATTAAAAAATAAGCTGGCCATTTTTCTGCTTAATTTATTTTATTTTTCCTTAGAAATAGCAAGTTGTGAATTTTTTTTTTTTTTTTGTGGTTTTCCTGCAGAATGATCAGCCAGCAGCTCTTTGATTTTCGTACAAAAGTTCCTTGTCTTGGTTCATTTTATAGTTTGGTTTCATTCTGGGGTTTTCCTTTGCACAGGCACATCTCCTATAAACTGTTTCTATATCTGCAAATATTCTTTTATTCTTTTTTATATCTCTAAGAAGAGGGAAATAGAAAAATGAGTGTTTGTGAGTAACATTTATGCCTCACATTATCCTGTGAGTCTCTGAGGGTGGCAACGTGCAGGGGATTTTTCCTTCTGAAAACATTTTTATGGATAAAATCTCACCAAATCTTTCATATAAAAGAGGTCACAGGTTTCAGCATGGACTCGACAGGACTTATTTAATAAAATATATTCAGTTCAGCTGCCAGGGCATGAAATTCTGTAGGATTTTTAGTTTGGAAGCCACGGAGGTGCCCAGGGCTCTGTTGGCAGAAGTTGCCCTCTGAGAGCTGAGCATTGACACCTCTCTCCTGCTGAACCTCAATGTCCTGCTGAAGGGAAACTGAAATGAGAAGGAAATATGGAGAAAATAACAGTCTCACCTTGAGAAAATAAACATTTTTAAAATATCTAATATATTTGTGAGACATAAGGGAATAATAGTCAAAAAGAGGACATTTTAATTGAAAAGGGTCCCCGGCCAGGGTGGATTTTGGGCAGTGGTTTTACACGGTACAATCTGTGTCTTTTTTGTGGGTGAGGTTTTCAGAGGGGTTTGGTTTGTACGAGTACCACACAAATGGATCCAACCGTGGCTTTTTCTTTGTATTTTGGGCAGATGGAGGAGAAATCTTGTGGTGGGAGTAGTGCAGAGGAAGTGGCACTAACAAGGGGGAGCAGATTTCTGCCTTATTGTCTTGTGCTGGGGCTGGTTTGGAGGGTGTTGTTGATAAACCCAGGAAATATCCATCTTTCTCCTTTAAAGTTCTAATTCAAGGCATGAATGTGTGAGTTCTGAAGGGACTTAGGGACTGCGGTAAAAAATCGTTGTCATAGTAACAGAAAGGGAAATAGGCCTGGCTCACCTGGGACTTTAACTTACTGCAAAAGCAGATTTTTTTTTTTTTTTAAAGGCAAGCACTCTAGCAAGAGAAATAAATAAATAACTTGTTCTTTGTATTCAAAATCAATTCTTCAACTATTTATTTTTTCTTGTATATGACTCTTTTTCCTTCTAAATCTATCTCCAAGTCTTTGATTTATTTTTTAAATTATAATTGTTGCGGTTAAACCCAACTTGTCTGACAAATAGAAACTGAAAGAATCACAGGAATATTTTCACTTGCAACAGAGGATGCCAAAATATTTCTTGCTCATGCCTAAATTTTGAAGACTTGTTTGTTTTGTTTTTAATCCAGCTACTGTGGCTTTTCACACAATTTCTTTACCTCTGAAATGTCCAGATTCAATCAGAAAACAAAGGGGTGAATCCTTTCCCTCAGTGGATGTGAGACAAAATTTGGTGGAATAGCTTAGGGAAAAATTCCTGCTTAATATTTCTAAATTCTAAAATCTCCATGCAGTGTTGGGTGAGTCACCAAACAGGCTGGAGATTCAGCTTGGGTACATGACAAGCTAAACTCTACAGAATAATAAACCATATGAAGATGGGTGTATGTGACAGAGCAAAAATAATTGGCACGAGAACTTTGTGGGATATTAATGGGTTTATCTGCTCGGACAGCGTGAGCTGTCATGTTTCACTTGAGCTCTTGCTTTCCTTATCCTCCCTCAAAATCTAGGTAGGAACAATCTGGGCTTTTGGCAGTTCTGTTCCTCTGCTTTTGTGACAGGAATCTTCATCAGAAAAAAAACATCATCAGGATGAAACCTCATCAGATTCTTCTCTGAGCTGTGTTTGCTCCTGGGTTTTTCATACATTCCAAGTCATTCCAAGGCTTATCTGCCTCAGAGTTGCCCTGTTGGTTTTGTGGTTTCCACAATACCATTATCCTTCCATATTGTTTCATGGAAAGTCCCTGCAGACAGCCAAAGAAAGACCTGGAATGTGAGGGAGAGATAAGAAAGAGACTAAAATTGTGTGGTCAAACCTGCAGAGAGGGAGTGGCTGTAGATCAGAGGAATTATGTTCACTTATACCATGGTGGATTTCAATCACACTGGTTATACTTTACCTGTTGTTTTTTGTAAATTCCGTTTATTAGAGTTTGATTTGTTTGTGTTTTGATAAATTCTGTTTATTAGAGTTTGATTTGTTTGTGTTTTGATAAATTCTTGTAGTCCTGTAAGATCCATTATCATGCAAAATGTACATTTTAAACCAGAATATAACAACACCTTTTGCTGTGGTTAATAGAAGTGACGTGGTTCTTTCTCTTTCCAGATTCTTCCTAAAATTTTTTCTCAAGTGCAATCAGAATTGCTTGAAAACAGCAGGAAACCCAAGAGATATGAGACGGTTCCAGGTAAGTCTTACAAGGTTCAGCATTGACCTGTCTGCCTCTGTTCTCTTCCTTTCCCATCTCCTCTCTCCTACATTGCTCCTAACAAACATGATGACAATCTATGAAAAGCCACATCAGACAGCGTTAAAGTTTTTCTCCATTTGTTGTGTTTAAACCCTTTTTTTCCCTTTTTCTTTTTCTTTTCCTTCCCTCTTTTTCCACCCTGAATCCCCAGGGGGAAGTGCTGTACTGTACCAAGCAGCAGTGGATATTTGATTTGACACCCTCGGGCAAAGCACTCGCACATACAGCTGCCCACAGCAGGGATCGTGCTTGTGATATTTAGATGCCTCAGAATTTTTCAAAGTAGCTCTCTACGTGCTACACAAGCAACCTCTTCATTTCCTACCTCTTTGCCTGTTATTTTTTTGCTTCCTAACACCCTCACATCCTCCCTTCAGCTCCTTTAAAAAACAACAGCAACAAACCAAGGAGCCGGAATAGTGATGGTGCAGCTCTGGCGGCCGGGATGCGCTGCCGGGAGGGAGGAAAGCGGGGCTGGAATGGCTCTGAGTAAACTGAGGCACAGCGAGGATTTCAGGTGGCTGCACCCTGGCCTTGCTGGGTGACCTTTGATGAGCCATTTCCCCCTCTTTTCATCTCTGATTCCAAAGCTTACATGAGCTTCCTCATTTATAAATGGAGTTAAAACGCCAAAGGAATTTACAGAGTTGCTTCAGACTTTCCATCAAAATGTTTTCTCATAGAAAAAAGTGGGTTTTATTTGTCTTCCGCTTCTGCTAGCAATGAAAAATTTAATAATTGTAAAAAAAAAGTTTCGACTTTTACGAGAAATCTTGCAAAACAAATCTTCTGAAAGATCAGAAAAATTAAAGAAATGCAGCCAAAAAAAAAAAAAAAGTTTTATTGGCTTTTTGTTTAGAGCATGAAGAAGTTTAAAGAAAAATTCCTGACCAACCTAATTTTTTTCACCAGTAGTTTAAAGAGACTGCAGTGACTTCTTCACTCTGTGTTTTTTAGAGATGATAAGACATAAGAAAAAAAGAGGTGCTCATTGTTAGGGAATTTATACTGAGGTTTTTTTCAAGTGGCAATTTCCATAAAGAAAAGAACCAGCAATTAGTTATCATCTGCCAAGAACGCTAAAAAATCTGGAAAGCAAAAGAAAACCTCTTTTACAGCATGTAAACACATCTTGTTGGCTTTTGGAGCTAGCAAGAAGAACTGATTGTGGAATGTCAGGAAACATAAATAATCTTTTTTGGGGGGATTTGTTCTGAGTTTGTAAAAATATTGTGCCCAGAGCTCTCCTGATTAACACCTGGGGACCTGAGGCACTGCCATAACACACAGAATATTGGTTGCAACTGCCAAAAGAGAAATTCTGGACCCAAACACATCAGAATGTCAGAGAAATTCAGTTCTGATTTCAAACCCATGCTGGCTACTCCCAAAAAATCCTCAAATCCTTGATTTCCGTCAGATGCTGAGCTGAAGGAGGAGTTTGGATCCAACTTTTTGGTGGATGGGCAAAAATCTCTCTGTGGGCTGTTGGGCATTATTTTTAATGTCACCTCACCTGAATGGGGATGTGACAGACCCCAACAGCCTCAGATGTCCAGGGAAACCTTAAAGAGGGAAACAGAACCAAATCCTGCAGAGTCACATGGATGAGGATGGAATTCCTTCATTCCTCAGCCCATCCACCTGGCAGCTCTCCTGCATGGGAGAGAGCCTGGCCTTGCTTTTGATCTCCGTCCCAAAATCAGCACTTTATTGAGGAGAATGAGCTGGGATAGACTCCTCAGCTGGGTTTTCTGCCTCCAAACATGCCAAGCTGGGAAAACAGAGCCAAGTGAAACTCCAGGGTTCTGTTTCTCTGGGATAACTTCAACTCCTCCTGCACGTCCAGTCCATGGGAGTTTGTCCCCTTTAAGTCTCAGTGATAGTTCAGTTAAAGCCCCCAAATTAATCAAGATCAGGCTTTAAAACCATTAAATTCAGTTTACTTTTTATCAATCCCCCCCCCCCCCCCAAATGTCAACCTTTTCTCAGAGTTACAGAATGAAAACCTTTGAGACAAATTGCAGAATTCTTGAGGTTTTGAGTGAGAGCAGGATCTTCGTTCAGGCTGCTTCAAAGCTGGACACATGGGTTGCTGAGCTTTGTTCTGGGCTGCAGAGGTCAGTGTGGATAAAAAATACAAAAAGTGGCTCAAATTGCTAAAATTTGACACCTTGGGAATAACAAAGCTCCGTGTTCCAAAGCAAATTAGCCATGATGAACAGTAAGGACAATGGGCAAAGACAGCTTGTTTTCTGTCTGCCTCTTGGTTTCTAAGGATATCATCATTACCTCCCTGAACACAACCAAAGTTAGGAGTGCTCTTAAACACTTCTTTTATTTTTGGTTTTGGTTTTTGTTTTGTTTTGTTTTGTTTTGTTTTGGGTTTTTTTGGGTTTTTTTTGGGTTTTTGGGGTTTCTTTGTTGGGTTTTCTGTTTTAAAATTTTGAAAAATTCTTTTTGCCTCCTGCTTGGATGTGGTCTGTCAGCAACCCTGAAAGTCGAAAGTGAGGGAGAAAAAATTACTTTAAAATATTACTGGTGTGTTTGCACACTTTGGACATGTTAATTTTCATTTTAATTCTCAAGATATTCACCAGGCAAAGTAATGAATGTGCAGAGTTGTCTATTAGGTTTGAAGGGATAGTTGTGCATCCTGTCAGTGCAGAAACCTGTGAGAAAACCTCTTTTACAGAGTAAAAGCAGGGTCAAAAGCCACAGCGCAGTAGAGTGGTTTATTCATTTCATTATTTAATTCATATTTCATGTTTCAGTCTTGGGCCATATCTAAGACTTCTCCCGGTTTTCCCCCAATAAATTATTTGTACAGCTGTTGTTATTAAGTCCCTCCTTTTCCAGACACTTCCAAGCACTTCACTTTCATTATGCAAACAGAATTCTGCAGCAACGCTCATCTGAGTGTGTTTTAATTCCTATCTATCTGTGTTCTTCTGCAGAACCAAATATTTTCATTTTCAATGGAGTAGTGCTTGTCAAACCTCCAGGAGACATCAGGATACTCCTTTTCTTCTGTGGTTATTAAACAAAACAGCAGAGAAAATCCCTCTATCAAAGTTCTCATTTAGATCTCTACTGAAACCTGGGCCTGAAAGGGTCTCGTCCAGCACCATTTTTTGCTCTTTAATAGAGCCTGAATGAAAGCCCAAACCTGAGGCTTTGTTGACGAGACACAAGTACAAATATGAGGTGTGGAAATAGTGCCTTACAATGCATCCTACTGAGTTTTCCAGCACGGAGCAATGGTTACTCATGACTGGAAACGTGTCAAGCTAATGCTTCTGATTAAAGATGGGTGTGAAGCTGCGCAGTTTGGGCTTGGCTTGGCTCATCCCCAAAGCTCCAAGGCACTGGGATCCAGTGTCCAAGCCTGGCCCCAGCTTCACTTCCAGAGCCAGTACATGATTTAGATATTTCATACTATACTGGTAATATATTAAGATAAATTAAATGTTAGGTTTCACATGCATCATTTAAAAAAAGGGGGGTGGGGAGAGAAAGGGGAGGAAAGGCTACATTAACATTGTGTTGTAAATTTAATGCAGCTCCAGATGCCTGAAGAGTTGTGGGGTTTTTTACTATAATTCTTTCAGCTGGAGAGCAACACCAGCTGCTTTGTGATCCTCTTGCCTTCCTTTTTTTAACCAAATGCAATGATTTTGTGCTGTTGAAAACTATGTTTTACATCAGAAGTTAAGGAATGTGTGATCATTATTTTAGTGAGGTTTTTTTCCCCTGTAGTAACATGATTTTATTGTGAATCACTACTTCAGTGTCTGTCAGTGGCTAAAGCAGGGAAACAGACTCTTTCTAGAACTAAAGGGAAGGGAATATTTCTAGAACTAAGGGGTACTTTCATAGTTACTTGATGGCTGCCCAAAACCCACAGAGATAGAGCAGTATGTCCTTGTGAATTTAACTGAAACAAATATTGCTTATTTATAAATTAAAATATTTCCAAATAAAGCTGGTGGGTGGAAAACTGAGGCAAAAATCATCCTAAAATCACTTATTCAAACAAAGGATTTGAGTCCAGCTCCTCTGCAAATTGAGTTTACATAGGTATTGTTAGTCAGGGCTGTGTTCTCACCGAGGGATTCTCCCGGGAATGGAACTTAAAATAAAAATAAAACCCCCCAAAACGATGCCCTCCATTTAATGGGGGATTCTCCTGCAGAACTTGATCGAAGCCCAGTGATACTTTAATGGTAACGACTGGTGTGTAAAGGGGCACAATAATTCTGTAGAATTAAGATGAGTCTCTTCAGCTGAAATGCTTCAGCTGAGACCTGGTGCTCACACATTAGGCTCCTGTTGATTGGGAATTTGGTTTCCTCCAGGAGCACAGTGATTAAACAGGTCCTGCAGTGCCAGGGAGGGTATGAGCAGCAGACATTGGTTCTAACAGTGGTCAGCTTTGAACCAATGTCCTTTTTTAGGAGCAAAACAAGAAAGGTCAGTCATTGCCCTCTGTTTTCAGCAGAAAACATGACATGGAATGTTTCCTGGCAGGTACCCCCCTCCTCTAGATGCTCTAGGGAGGAAGAGAAAGGAAAAATAACAAGGTGCATCCCTGGGGAGGTTTCCTTCCTGACCTCGGAGTGGTTGGATCAGTTCATCATCAGGCACGTGAGCAAAGCTGGCTGGGGCTGGGATTTCACCCAGCTCGCTCTAATCCAGAGCTCTGAGGGGTCTGTGTCACTCAGGGAAATGGAAAATGATTAAGAGGGGTGGGATGATATTGGGAGTTAGGAATGTAGGCTGTAGGAAGCAAAAAGGATGGCAAGGATAAAACATAAGTGCTGTAAATCGGAATCCTGCTCAGGCTGATGGGGAAGGAATGTGCCAGAGACCCCCGTGGTCAGGCTGGGATATGGACAGGGATCACTGAACTGCTGGTAGAGGTGAATACTACGTGGAATAATCATGATGGGGGACTACTTTCCCAGGTAGAGATTGCAAAACAAATGCAGCTGGTGTCAGCAGAGCCTGGGCCTGTTACTGGAGGGGGCAGATTTCTTCATCGGGTACTGGCTGAGCCAACAAAAGGTGATGTTATTTTATATTCTGTGTGAGTAAGGGAAGGACTGACTCAATGGCAAGAGAAAAAGTACTCAAGGAGCTTAATGTGCTCAGATCTGAAGGCCAAATATCCATGGGGAAAGAGAGTTCCCAGAGTGATGTCTCATCCATGAAAAACAAACCACAGATGAGATCCTCAGAGTCTCAGACTGCCAGCAGAAAGGAGGCGGATTTGTTGTGTTGGGCCCCTCTGATTTCTTGTTTGGGTACAATACACTGGATTAGCTACAGGCAAAGGAGAGCAAAATGACATTGGAACAGGTGCAGGAATGGGTCATTGAGGGGACAGGGGCTGGACAAGAGCTTGGCTCAAATGCACTGAGGAGGGGTGGAACTGCTCTCTGAAATTATCCTCAGGAAGGTCAGGAAGGGACATTATAATTTTAAAGCTAATGTTAAGCATAAACTGACTAGGAATAAATTTAGGCTGTAAGCCATAAATTCCCTCATCACCAGGCTTTAAAACAAGACGGGTGTCAAAGGCAGAAGGTGGAAATGGTTGCAAATGATTTAGGAAAGCAGCTCCTTGGTTTGTCTGTGGATAATAGCAGGAGACAAGGTGTCAGTGGCCCAGGAGTGGTGTCCAGCCCCTGTGTCCCAAGAACCTTCAGATTCCCTGGGGTGAGGGCTGAGTGTCCAGTTTGCTGTCAGCCCCCAGTCTGCAGGCTCAGGGCCTGGAGAGGATTTCCCAAAGAATTCCGTGGAAGTTTTGAGGAGAGTGAGGCTGCAGGCATTTTTCACATTGTTTATCTTATTCCTAATCCAACTCTGAGGCAAGCCCATCATATCCAGGCTCTCCTCCTGTGTTACTCCCTCAACCAAAATTCCTGTTGACATCAATGGGAGCCCTGTCCAAGTCCAGGCAGCAGGATGAGGCCTGACATATTTCCTTCCACTCAGCTGGAAAATAATAATAATAACAATAATAACAATGACAATAATAATAATAGCAATAATAATAACAATAATAATAATTTTAAATCCTCATAGCAGCTTTTTTTTTTTTTTGAGAAGTTAAAATGGTGCTGTGACTAGAGAGTTACAAGGGAAAGTGCATCAGGAATGCAATATTGTTTCCAGATGTACAATGTCATAAAGAATTTTTTCCACACTTGGAATGGTAACAGGAATTTTTTGAGAGAGATCATTTACACAGTGATGAGATATGTTACATGTAAGTAAATGCCTGTATGCCTGGAATGTTTGTACCATATGTCTAAATAGGTGTCTGTGACTGATACAGATTTTATATCTGGGGATGTGAATGGATTTGCATATCTGTGATTTGAAGAGCAGCACACTTTAGAATATAAAAATACTGATATAACACAGTTGGGGGAGGGAAATTTGTAGTACCCAGGTGAAGGTTTGTAAAGAAACACAACCCCCTGAGCTGTGCAGGGAGGTGAAAGAGGGGCAGTAGAGCTCAGAGAAGCCGAGTTTAAAGTGCTAAAGACACTTTGGCTGGATGTCACGGGAGGTGAACCCTCCCTGTGGGTTCTGAGCGAGGATTGCATTACAGAAATCCACCTGGGAAACAAAAATAATGTGGAGATACAGCTCCGGCATTTCCCCAGGACTGCTGGGGAATCACTGCTTTATGGCTGTGGCCTCTCAGCTGATAAGAAGACCTTTGCAGACTGGCAGGGAGAACCTCAAGGAGTGTGAAAACAGCTTAGAATCCTGTAATTCCCTCAGTGTTCGGAGGGAGATGGCATCTGTGCTTGGGAGGATGAAGGAATAACATTGCGCTCTCTATTTCCTTCTTGTTTGCTGTGCTCTGAAACCTCAGCAGCAGTGACAGTTTGGTCCAGCTTTTGGGTGGCACAAAATCTTAAGTTTCTATGCTGTCTGTGCCTAAAATTTGGCCCTCAGCCCCACTTACCAGAATCCATGGCCTACCTGACCTGTTTTGTTGTTCTCAGATAATTCCCTTTAGGTTAAATTTTGCATTAACAAATGGTAGTTGGTAAAAGATCATCCACTGAGAAATAGGCAAAGAAGCCAAATAATCATACACAAGAAGTGGTGCCATCAGGGCAGGAAAAGAAAAACTCATCAGAACCATTCGTCAGCACTTGGGCAAAAGTCAGAATTTAAATCTCCAGGGAAGTTTGCACATCACCTTTCATCAGCACTAAATACAGGGGTTTTAAAATAGGGCTTGGACTATTTTACGACGTTGGGAGAACAAGTGTTGATAAATACGTGTTCAGGAGGGTTTGGGCAAAAGTGCATAGAAATGGTTAACAAGGTAATGGTAAGAAATGTTGACCTTGATTTGTTTGGCTAAGATGTAAAGATTTTTGAAGGTCAAAGGTGTTCTTGTGTAGTGTTTTGGAGTCTAACTGTGTCTGACCCTCTAACATTAAGCTGCTGTGGCCTGCAGTTTTGAAGAGTGAAGCAAACCAGGGGGAAAGAGGGAAGGGGGAGAGAACAGGAAATGGAGTGAGGTGTTTCAGGAAGTTGTCAGGAGTTGACTGATTGATTCCAGATGGAAAGGGTCACCCTTCATGACCCAGGAAATACTCACTGGGGGAAAGCAGTTGGCTTGTGAAAGGGAAGGGCCTGGGAGTTAGAGACCATGGTGGAATGTACATTCCTCCTCCTTTTATCCATAAAACATTGGTTTTTAATCTCCAGAATAAAACAATTGTATTGTGATCTCCATCAGGCAAGAGGGAACAGATGGGGCAAAGTGAAGAAATTCAGTCATTTTGATGTCCATGCTCTCATATGTCCTTTCTCCACACCATGGATGAGGAGTTGGGTGGTGGTGGTGTAGCAATGACAAAGGTCTCTGCTGAAATTAAGGTTACAGCAAAAAAAGTCCCAAATTTTGAGAAGGTTCTGCTCCAAATCTGAACTTTGCATCTCGTCCTGTCCACAAGAATGCTGTGTTTATTTACCCTGGGTCCCCACCTGTGACAGGCCAAGTGGCTCTGGCCCTCCTGTCATGGATGGGAGAGGTGGATAAAAATGGAACCACAAATGGAGAGAGGTCTAGAAGTGCATTTTCCATTCCTGCTGGCTCAGGGAGCAGAGGATGCTCAGCACTTGCCTTCTGGACTGGTTCTTGCCATTACTCTGCCATTGCTGTGGGGGTCTCTATATCTCCTACCAAAATGTGGCTCTTGTGCTGTGCACAACCCAAATGTGGATTCCAACACGGACCTCTCCTCTGGGACAGTGACAGGACCCAGGGAACAGCTGGAGCTGTGCCAGGGAGGGTCAGGCTGCATACCAGGGAAAGGTAGGATTTTGGGAAAGGCTCTTTCCCCAGAGGTTCTGGCACTGCCCAGGCTCCCCAGGGAATGGGCACGGCCCCGAGGCTGCCAGAGCTCCAGGAGTGTTTGGACAGGGATGCCCAGGGTGGGATTTTGGGATGTCTGTGCAGGGCCTGGGGCTGGGCTGGATGATCCCTGTGGGTCCATTTTCCACTCAGGACATTCCATGATTCTCTTCTATGTGTGAACACTTGAAGTCTGCCTCTATTCTCCCTTCCTGGGAGCAGGTGGGTGTGTATTTATCCCACTCATGTAAGTGAGCTCAGAGATGTCTATTCCACAGTGTAACTGTATATAAAACACACACTTTTTATTTACATTTGGTTGCAATTTAAACACTTGTCGTAAATATTTCAGACACTGGAATAATTCAGGCCTATTCCCCTTTGCCACAGTGTGTTCTGGGCTGGCCAGTGAGAGACTAAAATTTATTTCCATTGTTGAAGGGAAAATAATGAAGTGCATCTGAGTGGGCTCAGCTATGTCATGCAGGAAACGTTCCCTTTGGACGGAGTCACACCCCACCCTAATGGGAATGAGGAAATCAGTTGGCACACAAAAGCAACACATTCTGTGACAAGAATGCTTGAGAAGTATAAGAGTACAGGATGACAAGAGCCTTTTGGAATGAATTAGAGTTGTCTCAAGAAAGAAAGTATTCTTTAAGCTTGCCTAAGCCTGGGGAGGGCAAGGTCTCTCCTGCTCTGTGCTGGATAGAGTTTTATCAACAATTAGAGCTTGACATTCTCTTACCTCGGCTGTGACATCTGAGGCTGTGAAAATCCATGAACACATCCAGGGTTTGACTCTCCATGGCTGTGCATTACTGTAGGTGTGGCAGTGGGATGGAATTAAGCTCATTTACACCAACTAATGGTCAAAACCACTCACTCAGAGGGCATTTTCTTTCAGGAGTTAAAACACTGTTTGTTTTTCCTAAAAGCTTGTGGTTTGAAGTCACACATCTTTATCTGGATTGATGGGATTTAGAGCTTTGGATACTGTAAAAACTAAAGTGGGATTAATTAACATATACAGTTATTTCCTCTAGGAGTTCAGATTGGAGCCTAGTCATGGATGTTGAGGTTTAAAACCTATTCTTGGTTTGGGGTCCTCAGGCTCAGATGATTTTTCAGGAGGCACCATGCACTCACATATCAAAACCAGGCATGATATTAGGTCCTGTTTTCATGGAGTTTCCATCGTGCAGGAGCTGGGTCATTTAACAGCAAAGCTTCTATACAGCCCACAGGATGCTGTGTTAAATGCAATTAATGCACTGAATGAAGGCTGAAAATATTTTCTCCCCCTCTTAAACCCCTGCAGGGTGTGCTGCCATTTTACAAAACAAGGCTTTAGCTGAACTGAATAATTAATCCTTAACAAGTTGAATTTCAAATAAATTGTTTACCTGGCTGTTTTTTCCTTCTCTTTCTAAATATCCAGGTGGTGCTATCAACAACAGTGAATGTGGATGGGCATGTGCTGGCAGTGTCTGACAACATGTTTGTGCACAACAACTCCAAGCACGGGCGGAGAGCAAGAAGACTCGACCCCTCGGAAGGTGGGAGTTTTGTCTGGAGAGCAGAGCAGAAATTACCCGTTCTTCCATTTCTGTTTGTTTTCAGGAGGGAAGGAGAGCTAAGGGGGAATTGCAGAGCCTCAGGGGGTTTGGAGAAGGCAGAGGCAGGAAAACAGTGTCTACTGCATGCAAAATATGATCCTCCTCACATCTAAGGGACTGACTCCCCATCCCCCTGCAATTTATTAATTAGTATGTACTGCAAAGATGAAAAACACAGAAACACCAAGTATTATCTAAATTTCAGCCCTCTCATTCAGCTGGGATAGATTTGATTTCAGGCAAATTAGGCAAGATGACATCTTAGTTAAACAGAGCCGTTCCAGCACAAGATGTGTATGAAAAAGTGTCACTGGTTCCCTTAAACAAACTGTGCACGGAGCCTAACGATGCGCAGAGGGAGCTGACACTAATTGATGTGGGTTTGTTTGGCTAAGCCAGACTCATGGCCAGCTCCAGGATGGGTTGGGGACTGTATTCAAGCAATTACAAATTCTTGTATCTGTTAAGTTTCAAAATGTTCGGCCCCTCCTCTCCTCTTCGTTCCCGAAACATTCCACCTCCCTCACGCAGACAGTGCTCAAAAACTACTGGAAAATGCTGGAAAGTGCTATCAGTGCCTGCTTTTCCCTCTCCTGCAGCCCCTGAAAGTGAGAAGAGCTGGTGATGTTAGTAGAAAAGACAAGCAAGGATATTATTTCATTATAATGTTTTGCTGCCCCACTTCTTAACTGTGCCCTGTATCAACCTAAAAGAAGAATTAATGAACTGGAAGAAAATGATTGAATCAGTAAAGAATTCAGAGTGGTGTTAATTCTCCCCCAGCGGGCAGTGAAATGGTAGAAGGAAAATCCCAGGATTCCTAGCCTAGGAAGCCATCCAGTTTTTCCTTGACTGATTGGATGTGATTGACTGGCTGTTCAAAGGAGTCTCATGTTTTTGGAGCACTGCCAAAGTTCCCCTCCACCTCTGACCCTGTCAACATTGGGAATGGAGTGATGGATTGACTTTGGTTATGGCCTGGAAACCATATTGGGTTCCTGATGGGATGCATAGTCCATAGGCCTTGAACATATGGAAGAGAGAAATAAAAAAAAAATAAAGGCTCTGTAAAATCAAGAAAATTATTAGAAATTATCTCCTGATATGAATTGGAGGAGACATTTGATATTCCCATATCTTCTTTCACCCATTGATAAATGTAATGAATGTGACTCTACCTTTTTTTCCACAAGGTTTATGTCTGTGGGATCATATGCTAATCAGTGGGTGTTATTTTGTTTTTTTAAGCAGTCTCTGCACAGTCATTTAAGCATTTCATTTTTACACCCACTACAGTTGGCCTATTAGGCTTTAATGACACGATGTTAAGTGCCAGTAATGAATAGGCAAGTAATTAACACTTGCAAGGCAGAAAACACTCATTTATTTATTTATTTATTTATTTATTTATTTATTTCTCAATATTCTGGGGGTTGTGGAGTGGTGAGAAGCCTTCATGGGTGAATGGCTAGAAGGGACTTGTCCTAGGCCTCTGCTAGCAGTGGGAATTCAGGAATTCCCAGGTGTGGGTGGGTGGAGCTGCTCTCAGCTGCAGTTTTTGCATCACTTGGGATGTTTGATGCTCACAGGAATTGCTCCAGGGATTTACACCCAGGCCTCAAAACTGTTGGGGGGATGAAAAAAGACACCTTAAAGAGCTGTTTGGATGGGGTTTTTTTTGTTCTGTGCAGCCACGCCCTGCATCAAAGCCATCAGCCCAAGCGAGGGGTGGACCACGGGGGGAGCCATGGTGATCATCATCGGGGACAACTTCTTCGATGGGCTGCAGGTGGTGTTTGGGACCATGCTGGTGTGGAGTGAGGTGGGTACAGCTGCCCCTCTGCCCCTGAGCTGGGGAGACTTCCCTTTTCTGAGGAGGAACGGGGTTAATTCCTGTTCCTGTTCCATGGTGCTGTGTGAGGTGGGACATAGAAACCTGTGTGAAGGGAATTAATGGAACGTGTTTTCCTTGCTCTGTGATATTATTGAATGATACCCAGAGTGAAACTGAACAATTCTAGGTGTCTCTAGAATCAAAGAAATTATTAGAAATTGTCTCCTGATATGAGCTGAAGGAGACATTTGACATTCCCATATCTTTTTTTACCCACTGATGAACTTAATGAATGTTACTCTATCAATTTTTCCACAGAGTTTATTATTTACACACGTTCATTTACATAAGCAAAAGTAGAGAAATAAAGAAAGGGTTTAAGTTTGGGAAGGAGAAAAAAAATCCATCTGGACCCAGGAATAAGCCAATTAACCAATGGGCTTAACAGTACAAGTTTATTGATGACAATTCATCCTAAAATGTGTGATCCTCTCCCTAGAGGCTAGGATCTAACCCTCTGCTGATCTATAGTGATAATTTTTTTAAAAAGTGTTTTTACTGAGGCCTGTGATGGCAGGACAAGGGAGAATGGTTTTAAAGTGAACAAGGGTAGAACTGGAAATGAGGATGACATTTTTTATGGTGAGGCCCTGGTACAGGTAGCCCAGAGAGGGAGAGCTGCACCAAGGGAGATACAGGCTAGAATTAAGGAGGAAGTTTTTCACAAAAAGAGTGGTCAAATACTGGAATCATCTGCCCAGGGAGGTGGTGGAGTCACCATCCCTGGATGTGTTTAAAAAAAGACTGGATGTGGCACTTGGTGCCATGATCTGGTTGAGGTGTTAGAACATGGGCTGGACTCGATCTTAAAGGCCTCTTCCAATCTAGAAGTTCTGTGATTCTGTGATTCTGTGAGAAGCTGTGGCTGCTGCATCCCTGGAAGGGTCCAAGGTTGAGCAGGACTTGGAGAAATCTGGGATAGAGAAAGGTGTTCACTGGGGGTGGGACTGGATGATCTTTAGGGTTCTTCCAACCCAAACTTTTCTGTAATTTACTCGTGAAGTAAAAGGACAGAACAGACCCTGACGGTGCCTCTCCTGTTGCCGTTCCCAGCTGATCACCCCTCACGCCATCCGCGTCCAGACGCCTCCGCGGCACATTCCCGGTGTGGTGGAGGTGACACTATCCTACAAATCCAAACAGTTCTGCAAAGGAGCACCAGGCAGGTTCATTTACACAGGTGGGTGCCTGGGACTGGGGCTGCAGGAGCTGTGCTGGTCATTGGTATTGACAACCCTTGGTTTGATTAATTAATGAATTTATTAATTCACCCTCTTGCTCATCCAAGGCCACTCTGGCAATGGTGCCATTTGGGGGTGAAAGGAGGAGGTTTCATAAGGCATTTCTACTGCACATTAATATTTTTCCCAAGTGCTGTCATAACATGGGTCTGCCTACAGAATATACAACCAAATATTTATGTTCCACATGATTGTATTTGAGCTTTTCTTTTCTTTTTTTTTTTTTTTTTTTTTGGAAAGAGTGACACTAACATTGTTTGAAACTGTTGGAAAGGTTAATGTAAAAATTAGCTATACATTTCAAGGGTAAATCTAACTGGCACAGTGAGGCTCTTGTGGGAGCTCATCTGTGTCCTGTAATGTGTCTTTATGTCAGGCTTCTGCAAAGTGTGCTGTGCAAAGCAGTGCTGGCACTGCTGCACTTCTGGGGCTCTCAGTGTTTCCACTCCCAAGTGCTCTCACCTAGGGGTGCAACCTGACCATCAGCCTCCTCTCCTCACCAAAATGGGATGTGTGGACTTTTCCATAAGGTTCCCACATGGAAAACTTCCTGTCAGAGTGAAGTCAGCAGGATTCTGTAGACATGTAATGATGTGCTGGAGAGTACAGCAAAAACCCAGAGAAATGGCTCACTGGAGGGGAATGGCAGTGGCTGAACCAACTTCAGCAGCTGAAGTAAGAGATACTTAAAATACTTAAAATGAGAGATAAAATCCTGTTTTTAAATCACCACATAAGGAACTTGGAAGCTCACTGTGATCTCCTTGCTTGCCTTGCCTGGGAGAAAGTGGCTAAAAATGAGGAATGGGAGTGATGGACCAGCCCGGAAAATAAAACTTTAGTAATGAAAATAACAAAACGTGGTGACTACAGGTTACAGAGATTCCAAAGACTCGTGGGCAGGGCAAATGCAGCCAGGTATAGAGGCATCTGAGGGCAAAGGTCCAATCCTGAACGTGAACTCAGAACAGGACCTTATAAGAAAAAGGTCCTGAACCAACAGAGAAAAAGAACTGGAAACTTGACCAAATATAGGGTAGAAGTGTTAGCATACTGCTCCCAAGAACTCACAGTTCCCACTGTGAGCCAATGAAGTGCCCCCCTCAGTATACTGTCCACCACGGTCTGAGGTCAAAACCCTCTCTAAAAGCAGCTGAGGTAAAAATCTCAACAGGATCAGATCCCACAAGCACACCCAATCACTTGGCCCCGTGTGTGGCTTCATCCAGTGAGGATACAGGTTGCACACATCCCTATTCTGAATTGCTTTCCTTTCATCAGCTGCTCCTGGAATAAAAAGACATTAGTTCTCTGCTGCTAATCTTGCTGTAGCCTCATATTCTGCTTTTAATACGACACAAATTCAAATTCTCTGCTGCTGTAAGTGGTTCTATTATAGTTCCCCTGGCTTTAATAACACACCACTTTATGCCAGCTGAGGGCACATCTTGTAGGCTTTCCTAGTTCAGCTTTGATCACAGCTCTGCATTTACTTTGTCACAGAGATGCTAACCTGGAAATGTGTATATCAGGGAGATTTGGAACATAATTTTCCTTGCTGAGCAGAAATCCTCCAGGGGTTACCTTGTCAGAGCAAAGCAATATAAAATCATCTGTGGGAGAGGCTGAGCTCTGGGTTGTGCTGTATCAGCCTCCGTGCCAGGATCCAGGGATGGGAAGGGGCTGGTTTGCTAAATCTTGTAAGGAGATTGAAGCTCTTGTTTTCTGCTTGTGAGAAACAACACTTACAAGGATGCAGAGAGCTCTATAAAGAGTGAGTTCCCTTGGACAGAAAAAGCTGAGGTGGCAAAGCATTTCCTGCTGTCACTGCTTTAGCCTGTGAGAGACTTGGGGAAATAGAGAATTCCAGGATCTAAGGGGGCTGCCAGGAAAACCAGAGAGGGACCCTTCATCAAGATCTGTAGTGACAGGACAAGGAGTAATGGGTTCATACTGAAAGAGGGGAAATTTAGGTGAGATTTACAGAAGAAATTCCCCCCAGTGGGAGTGTTGAGGACCTGGCACAGGTTTCCCAGAGAAGCTGTGCCTGCCCCATCCCTGGGAGTGTCCAGTGCCAGGTTGGACAGGCCTTGGAGCATCCAGGACTAGTGGAAGGTGTGACTGTCCATTGCAGCAGGGTAGAACAAGATGATTTTTAAGGTCCCTTCCAACCCAAACCATTCCATGATCCAAACTTTGATACCACAGGTGCCTTTTCTCTGTTAACACCTTAAGGGTTGGGCAGCCCACTGCAAAAACTGCTCTCCCTTTCCCACATCTCCCAGGGTGATACCAGCAGGAGCTGCTGCCGCTCCTCCTGCACAGCCTGAGGTGCTGTGACGTGTGGTGAGCCAGGGAACCCTCCCAGGGTCAGCACTGTGCAGGGGGGTGTCACAGCCAGGCCCTGCAGAGAGGGGCTGAGCTGATGCTGCAGCTCTGGCTGACGCAGACAAGTGTCCTGGCAGAACTTGCTCAGCTGTGAGAATTCTTCTTCCCCTCCTATTCCAGCAAGTCAGAAGAGATGTGTTTTAGATGAAAACACGGGTTTTGAGGGGTAAAGAACATCAAAGAGGAGCACTGTCCAGACTTTGAGCTTCACATAAATAAAGTCAGGTAGTTGGTGACACATTTAGATCTGTCCCTACTCTTGTACAACAAATCTGTTGTTAAAACACTCGTGCTAGGGAGAGGCCTGAAACTCTGGATTTGAGGGTTGCCAAAGGGATTTTGTACCTGAGTCCATTTTCTGAGGGGTTTCATTTCAGATATCTGATTTCTAGGAAACAATGAACAGCCTGCTTGTGTGTCAGACCCCTTTATGGTCTCTGAATCCATGAACCCCAAAGCATTTGGATATAATTCTGGCATATTTCTATGTAACACACAGATAAATCACTCCTGACCCAGCAGCTCTTTCTTCAGTGGAAGTGGGATTGTTGGGAAGCTGCTTAAACTTGCTGTTGGATTCTTCATGTTTGGCCTCCACTTGGGAAGGTGTCATTTACTCCTCCAAATACTTGGTACTGGTTTTTCGCAGGATTTCACAACAGAGATATTTTTGTTCCATTAATGAGTAAAACCAGTAGTGGGCAATTTTGTTGCAGGCTGTACAGAAAACCTTTGTGCTGAAAGACATAATGTGCACATTGATTCAGGATGGCAGGGTCCTGTGAACAATTCAGCATTGTTGGGAAATGATTTGCTGCTGTTGATCTATCAGGATGAAACTGTCCATGTCAATCCATTGGAAAAATATTTGTTGAATAATAGCCAGCTTCTTCTTCCTGAATTAGCATTTTGCATATTCCCACTAGCTATTTTTAGTAACTTGATATATATTTGAATCCTTGTATATTTCACATGTTTGAATTCCGATATATTTCACATTTCTTTAGCTTAAATCACTTAAATGAACAGATTTGTGATCAAGAAGAGAAATGCCACATAATGATGTTTAGGCTCTTGTGACAATTGGCCTCTAATTCTCAGGATTATTGGCAAAATAGCCCACCCCCCAAAAACTCCTCTTCCCAAACGGGATGTAGATTCTGTGGCAGTTGAAATGTGTATTATTAAACTCCTTGAGCAAACCAGAATGGCTCCCAGTGGAGAGCAAAGACATTCTAAGTATAGCCAAGACTAAATTCTCAGGTCTGGGTTTTCTCTGCTCAATTCCCACTTGATTATCTCCTGTAATATTTAAACTTCATGCCATGCCATAATTATTTAATAAAAAGTAAATATAAAATGTATCTCCGTGGAGAATGTGACCTTTTACCTTCATGTTGTTATACCAAAAGCAGACAGGGATAAACAAGGAGCAGAGATAAACAGGGAACCTGGATCACTGTAAAAGTGATGGATTCTTCTCCTGGTGCAGAAGATGGTTCTCCTGTGAGGTGCTCAGGATATTTTGGATCATTCAATAAGAACCATCAGCATCTCTTGTAATCAGGGGTTTTCAGCTGTGCCAGTGCTAGTTATTCTAAATAATAAAGATTTTTTCCCTCCCAAAAGAACCAAAAATGGTACAAAAAGGTCTAATCCAGCATTGACTGAGGGTAGTGCTGAAGGCCTTACATGTGTTACTTATTAAATGTGTAATGAAATTCTTCACAGAATCCTCAGCATGAATGTGTCATTTGTGTTAAAATGTGCATTCTGAAGAATAAGAGAATTCAAAAAAAAGCATCCCTGTAACTGTGCTGGTGCTCAGTGGCACTGCTGAGGTGTTGGAGGCAGGCAGAGCCCAAGCACACAGAATGCTGCAAGCTGACTTTTGGGTTCTGCACCAATTTAAATTGGAGTTTGAATAATCAGAAATCTGAGTATTATTGCTGCAATTTCCTAGCAGAGACTAGGAAAGAGTCTGAAGTTTTCTGAAATCATCAGCGATCCAGTAGGGCTCTGCCAGCTATTGCAAACCGAGGATCTGGGTCAAAATATCCTGGTTTATCCACCAGAGATTAAGATCATTACAGGGAAGTGGCAGCGTATGCAGAACACACAACTGGGGAAGGGAATGTGTCTAATGAATAGCTGTGCCCTACTTCGGGACTGCAAAACATTGGGGGCGTGTGTGGAATGTGTTTATTAGAGGAGCAAACACGGCTGTCTGATTTCTGGCTGCGTAACCAGCAGGAGAAAACCTGTTCTGGTGTGTGTTTGTCTCATAATTTGCTTTATTGATGTAATGGTTTTGTCCAGAGTGAAACATTCATCCTTAAAGGAGTGTTTTGTGACAGCGCTGCTGCATCTTGCAAATTATTCATTCAGCTTTTGATAGAGGATGAGAAGTCAGCCAGGGAAACAGGAGCAGTTTTAAGTGCAGAAGTCATGATTTCTTTGTTGCCCAATTGAGACAGAGCCATATAAAAATACATGTTTAGATACAGTCATATAATGTGGTGGGGTTTGATGTTTTCCTTCCAGCTTTAAATGAACCTACCATAGATTATGGCTTCCAAAGACTGCAGAAGGTCATCCCAAGACATCCCGGGGACCCTGAAAGATTAGCTAAGGTAAAATAATTTTAAACATTTCACTCAGCCCACCAAATCTGTTTTTTCACTTCTAATTAATAAAAGAGACACAATTATGTCTTAAATGACAATCACATCAGAATTTACCAATTAGCTGTAAATCTGGCAAGAATGGATGGGACTGTGTAGAACCCACAGTGATTTTTGTATGTTGGAGTCCAAACAGTCTCTGTGTAATTTTGCTGCTAAATTGAGTCCAGTGAACATTCCCAGTTCATCGTCCTTGTGCTCTGCCCTACCCCTGGTGGCCCATCCCTGAGCCCAAATGCTGTGTCCATGCAAAGGAATGTATTGAATCCTCCACACGCTCGTGTGTCCCGGCAAAAGGATCCATTGAAATCCCCGGGGGAGCAGGGACGTGTGGGATTTGTCTCCGTTTTTGGTGCTGCTGAGGTGGAGCAGGTTCAGGACTCTGGAGAGCTCCGGGTCACGGAGGAGCCCCGGACCCGGCACGGCCGAGCCAGGGATCAGCCCCCGCTGGCTCCAAAGGGACTCGTGGTTTGGAGGGGCTGCTCTGACCCACCGGGAGGGCTTAAATTCCTCAGGTACCTGGCAAATAACACCTGAACACAGCACCTGAACGCACCGGGCTTCAGAGCGACCACACACAAACCCTTGAGAGAATACTAGCTCATGGTTTTATTTATTTAACTATTCTATTCTATTCTATTCTATTCTATTCTATTCTATTCTATTCTATTCTATTCTATTCTATTCTATTCTATTCTATTCTATTCTATTCTATTCGTCTATTTATTGTATTTATTTTTTTATTTTACTTTAGGCTAGACTAGTCTATTCTGTCTTATTCAATTTATTATTTTCTTTTATTTATTTTCTCCTGTTCTATTTTATATTACCACTGTATTGTGTTTATTGTATTTAGTTATTTGTTTGTATTTTATTTATTATATTTTTCTTTAATTAATTGTATGTTGCACTTATTTTTATTTATTATATATTTATTTTTATTGTTATTTTATCTCTATATTTTTATTTCATTTATTATATATTTAAAAGTTTTTGTTTCTTTATTTTCTTCATTTATTACATATTTATTTCACTTCATTTTATTGACCAGAGCTACTTTTTGCCATTAAAACACCTCTTTCCCTCCGCCCCACAGGAAATGCTGCTGAAAAGAGCCGCTGACCTGGTCGAGGCCCTGTACGGGACGCCCCACAACAACCAGGTCAGGCTGCCGGGGGTGGGACGGTGCCGCCCGGCCCCGGGGGCTCCCGCGGCCCCGTTCCGTGCCTGAGCTGTCCCTCGTTCGCAGGACCTGATCCTGAAGCGCGCGGCCGACATCGCCGAGGCGCTGTACAGCGTGCCGCGCAACCCCGCGCAGATCCCCGCGCTGTCCAGCTCCCCCGCGCACAGCTCCATGATGGGCATCAACTCCTACGGCAGCCAGCTGGGCGTCAGCATCTCCGAGTCGGCGCAGGGCAACAACCAGGGTGAGCCCCGGCGCGTTCCCTGGCCTCTGAAACCTCAGCCCGGCCACCTTCCCCTTCGCTCTTCCCTGGATCTGATTTCCAACCTCTCCGCGTGCCCGGCGGTGCCTTTAACTCTGGGCATCCCAAAGGGTGGTGCTGCTCCTGTGCCTTATCTGAAATGATTTTTGATTGCTTTCGATACCAACTCGCCCCTGAATTCCCTCCGTGTCCTCCTCAAAAGATCAATTTTTTTGATTGTATCTCTGTTTTCACAAACAGCAATGGCAGCAGCTGGAAAAAAACCTCACACAGAGGTGGGAAATATACCTTTTTTTTTTGTTTTTAAGGCAGCTGCTTCAGTGTTAATTTTACCAACACTCATATATTGTATGTATTACATTTAGTCCAGATACACCATTGATTGTGAGGAAAACAACCCGTAAAACAGTGCATTAACATTGAAAGAATGATCAACTTTTCTGTGTCCTGAATATTTTGATTTTTAGCACACACAGTCTCTGGTTGATCTCAATAATTGGCTGTGTTTAACACCCAAGTCGTTTAATGTTAATTTTCTATCTGTCCAGTTAAAATCCATCATCAAGATAATTTTGCTCATTTTTTCAAGGTCTTACCAGCCCTGAATTAGAACCTCATAATGTAAATGAGCAGAAATTACCTGACTTGATATACCTAAATATTATATCTAAATAGTGACTACTCTTCCTGTAATTATTGTATCAGTCTTTCTAATGAAAGTTTTTTCATGGAAAGACCCTTTTGCAGCTGGAATAATGATTTTATCCTTTTGTGTTGGTAGCTATCATTTTTAACTCTCTTTTTGGAGTAAAAAAAGGCTAAATTTTGGCTCTCAAATACTTGTTAGCATTTTTTAATACAACAAAAATGCGTTTTACTTATCCAGTTTATTCTTTCTCCCAAGTAGAGGAAATTAAAAGTTAAACTACCAACTTTATACGGGTTATCATTTCCCCTTAGTAATGTACTTGCTTTATCTGTAATTTAACAATTCAACAATAATTTGAAGAGTAAAACCTCCCCTATTCAATGGTAGAAAATCCCATATATTATAAATTCTACCCCAGGTAAACATAAACACAAACACTGTTGTCCAGGTCTTTGAATGAATTTAAAATTTTAATAAATCAAATTTTATTGGAAAAAATGTACATTGGATCACTTAAAATAGCTGGTTCAGAACTTAAACTGCAGGAAAAACCACTGAATTTATTAGCGTTGCTTAAACATTTTAAATAATCTGGATTTCAGTGGCATTTATTAAAGCAGGGGATGTGCAGGAGGAGGTTTTACGCCACGGAGGTGTTCTGAAATGTGCTTTACTTCCAGGTTACATCCGTAACACCAGCAGCATCTCCCCCCGGGGCTACTCGTCCAGTTCCACCCCGCAGCAGTCCAACTACAGCACCTCCAGCAACAGCATGAACGGCTACAGCAACGTGCCCATGTCCAACCTGGGCGTGCCCGGCTCCCCCGGCTTCATCAACGGCTCCCCGACGGGATCCCCCTACGGACGTACGGCCCTGCCCTTCACCCTGCCCCTGCCCTTCACCCTGCCCCTTCACCTGCCCCTTCACCCTTCACCATGCACCTACCCCTGCCCTTCACCCTTCACCCTGCCCCTGCCCCTTCACCCTTCCCCTGCCCTTTCGCCCTGCCCCTGCCCCTTCACCCTTCACCTGCCTTTCACCATTCTCCTGCCCCTCCACCATTCTCCTGCCCCTTCACCCTTCACCCTGCTCCTTCATCCTTCCCCTGCCCCTTCACCCTGCCCCTTCACCCTGCTCCTTCTCCCTTCCCCTGCCCCTTCACCCTTCACCTGCCCTTCACCATTCACCTGCCCCTTCACCCTTTAGCTGCCCTTCACCATTCACCTGCCCCTTCACCCTTCCCCTGCTCCTTCACCCTTCACCCTTCCCCTGCCCCTTCACCATTCTCCCGCCCCTTCACCCTTCACCCTTCACCTGCCCTTTCACCCTTCCCCTGCCCCTCCCCTTCACCCCGAGCCCTTCTGCTCCCCTGCCCCAGAAACAGAGCAGAGTCAGCCAAAGGCTCTCTTTGTGCTTGAGTGTCTTTGGGTGCCAGCTAGAGAAGGCTCCCATTTGTTGAGCATTGAACTTCTTTATTTTCCTCCATTTTTTAAATACTTATGCAGATTCCTGAGTGGCTAAGCCACCATGGGAAATGAGGTGCAATTGGCAGCTTTATTAAGCGAGTAGCCACTGCTTTTAGCATAGAGACTTTGCAAATCCTGGGCAAAAGCCACTCTGAAATAATCTTTATGAGTCTGAAGGCATTATCAATACCTGAGAGCTGAATTGAGGCTTAATTTCCTGTGAAACCATATTAACTTCATAACCAGAAATATAACATATAATAGAATTAATCTCTCAATTTCTCTTGTGTTACCATGAACAGCCACTTTCCCTTCCATACCTTGATTTCCCTTTGTCTAGGGAATGTGTGAAAAACAACCAAAAAAAAGTATACACCACCAGCTATGGTGTAAGTAAATAATTAAATATATGTTATATATGTATATATACATAAACAGATGAAGAGGTAAACTACTTCTTATTATTATTATTCTTATTGTTATTATTATCCCCTCTTCTGGAGCTTTCCATAAGGAAAGGATCAGGTCTCTCTTGTGTTATTGTGATTTCAAACTAATACTACCAAGAGACCTGGGAATTCACATGAAATATTGTTATTTACTCCTCCTTTTGCTGAGAAATGGCTGATATTGTTCTGGAAGCTCAGCAAACAGCTCCTGGACAAGTTATTGGACACAGAAAAGGGTTTTTTTTCTTGCAAGGCACTTCTTTAAAAAGTAGCCAATTTAGAGTAAAATCTAAGCAGCAACTTGAAACCAAGGAAAATTAATTTTTAAAAAACTGAGGAAGACACAGGATTTGCCAACCTTTCCAAATTCCAAGGACACTGAGTGGACAGGCCATTGCTGTTCCAATTGACTCCATTTTTCCCTTGATGATCTTCAATTTTCTGGCACCCTCACCCTTAATTTTGAAAGAATTAAGAACTGTTTTCTCTGAACTATTCAGTTAAACTCCCTCTCTACTTCAGACCTACTCTAATTATACTCACTGAGAGAATGAGACCTCCTTTGAGAGGTAAAACAAGGAATTCAACAACGGATTCTTGAAACAGTTTTACCAAATTTCTGATGAGAAATTCTTTTTTTTTTTTTTCCTTTTGCAGTGATGTCTTCAAGTCCAACAGTCGGCTCCTCCAGCAACGGATTCTTGAAACAGTTTTACCGAATTTCTGATGAGAAATTCCTTTTTTTTTTTTCCTTTGGCAGTGATGTCTTCAAGTCCAACAGTCGGCTCCTCCAGCACTTCTTCCATCCTCCCGTTCTCCTCCTCGGTGTTCCCTGCTGTCAAACAGAAGAGTGCCTTTGCTCCTGTCATCAGACCCCAAGGGTCCCCCTCCCCTGCCTGCTCCAGCGGCAACGGGAATGGCTTCCGAGGTGAGGAATGTGCTGCTGTTAATTCGCATTAAAGCTCCCGTTCTGGAGAGCAGTCACCACCGCGAGTGCCATCGCGGGTTCTGCAGGGCTCAGCAGTGACACCTGCCCCGGCCCTGCTGCACCAAAGGGTCAGTCCAAGCTCCTGGCTTCAGAGCAGGGGCCAAGTGCTGATTTCCACTTCTGAGCCAATGAATTTCAAACCCAGAATGGTTTGGGCTGGGAAAGGATCTTCAAGATCCAGTTCCAACCACCACCACAGGCAGGGACACCTCTCCCTGGAATATCAGCTCTTTGTGGGGAATGACTTCTCCTCAGGCTTGGGGGACTTGTTAAACAGAGCAGAGTTAATCCCCAGCTCTGTCCAGAACACAAACCTGCTGCAAGATTTAGGCTCAGCCCGGGAATTGAGCCCCACAGCCCATTTACAGCCCTTTTAAAGGTGATCTGTGAAACAAATGTGAGCAGTGAGATAAGAATGGAAACCTGTACCGAATTCTTGCTTTTAACAGGCTGGGGGGGGTGTGTGCAGCACATAAATATGCTCCAAGTCTCCATAAAAATGCCTTTATAGGGCCTAGGAAGTCATCTGGCCCCTTCAGACTTCACTAGAGATAGCCTAGGAAATACAGCTCTGGGAATTGAGCCGTGCCAAGAGCCAGTGGTAATTCCAAATGAGCCCCACAAACAGCACCTGTTTGGCTGGGTGTGATATAAACCCTTAGCTGGGCCACAGGAACTTGCAGAAAGTGTGATTATTTTATGTTGTAAGGAAATTCTAAGTGTGCTGAACAGAAACAGTAACATTTTTAAGAGATAACTCAGAGAATTCTGAAACAGCTTCTTCTACTGTCCCAGTTACAAGAAAATCCACACTTTCTTAAGATAATTTTCTTCCCATTAATGGGTTATCCATTGGTCTCACCATGTGAGTGCACAGACTTAAGTCTGCTTTAAACTGTCTAACTGTTTTGTAAAGAAGGCCTAAATATTAAGCCTAAATATTAAGGAGTTACCTGAGGTGGTGCTAAACACAAATCAGAGAGAAAACCACTCAGCTGCTTCTGGGAGACAGAAAAAGGGACAGATTAAGAAATTACTGAAATATTTAAATTAATAATTTTCTTTAAGGTAACACTCAATGCTCTGCTCAGAAAGAGTTTATCTCTCTTCCAACCCAATAAATAAATAAAGTGCTAGAGACCAGCTGGTCCCACCTATGCCATTTGGTGTTCACAACATATTTTATCCAGTCTATAAATCAGTAATCAATGAGGGATTCTAAAAAATTGAGCTTTAATATTAAATATAACAAAATCTCAAAGCTAAAACCTGACATCCACCCATTTCTACTGACCAAACTCCAGTCCTGAGCTGGTCAGGATTAATCTATGAGTTAAGGTTGTGAATAATTGCTGAATTAGCAAAATCATACAGATTTTGGATGGATACAAAATTTATTAACCACATCCCTTTCTTTGTGGGATTTCTACCTGTACATCAACACAAACATAAGTATACTCATATTCTACAACTCTTAAATTTAAGTATCCAATAAAACAGGACTGGTCAGTGACACAGCAAGAAGAAATAAGGTTTGTTACGCCAGGTCTTGGTAACTATTGCACTCTTTCAGCCATGGATGCAAATTCCAGCTGAAATATTTAAATTGATGCAAGCTGGGGAGCACATGCTTTGGAAAAGATCCAGGTACATGCAGCCTGATATCCAAATTAACGTTCCCACAGTGCTGACAGACAGATGTGGCCAAAAAGTCAACACGAGGCTCCCAAAGAGGCTTCTTGCCTGGACTGAGGCAGTGGGAGATGGATAATGCCCTCTGCCACGCCACCCCCTGGGGCTGGAAACCAGGCATAGGTGTGCTGGGCATGGAATTTAGGATTTATTTCCTTATTTATCAAACTTAGGTATCCGAAAATGCTGCTGGAGGGAGAATAGCAAAAGCACAGGGCAAGCAGTGAATATGTGCAGGCCCCTTTCCAAAGCCATTAACTCTGAGTTTCCCCACCCATAACATGTGGAAAACATCTCTCCAATATATAATAATAATATATACATTACAGAATTATATATCTACATTTAGAGGATGATAATCTTCTTCTTTGTCGTCTTCTTCTTTACCAGCCCCTCAGAGCATGCCACTCTCCTTACAGGCAGCAATGAAAATCTAGATTAGAGCTTCCATATATGCTACCAACAGCAGTATTTAAGCCTGGATTAAAACCAGTCTAAACATGAGTGGCTGTGCAATCTTCATCCTCGGATTTGCATTCCCATTGTTCCAGCTGTTTACAGGGAGTGTTTTTTCCCAAGAATGTGTTTTGGGAGGATTTGGTCCCTGTGAGGGTGCCGAGGGGCTGGGATGGAATTCCCAGAGGAGCTGTGGCTGCCCCAGCCCTGGAAGTGTCCAAGGCCAGGTTGGAGCAGCCTGGGCCAGTGGGAGGTGTCCCTGCCATGGCAGGGGGTGGATGAGATCAGCTGTAATCAACAAACCCAAACCATTCCATGATCCTGGAGTTCAACACTAATCCCCTTCCCAGTTCTCACGTTTGAATTGCAGCGAGTCCCTTTCCACTCCAAGACAGTTTTCCAAAGGCCACTTGTACGCACCAGGCTTGTGATCATTATTAATTACACCCATTAAAGGCGCCTATCACCAGATCATCTGGGTGCTACCCATCTTTGATTATTTATTTATAAAAAAATTCTCCAACCTTGTGACAATTTTAATCAAGTGTTTCAGTTGATAATTGCAAGCTGTCAAGGTTAATACAATAAGGCTCATCTCTAATTCTTTTTCCATTTCCCTCCAAGAGAAAAAAAAAAAAAAGACCCTCTGGGATAATGACTGGTGGTTGCTATATTCCCAACTCATCAGGGAGTGTCCTGCATTGAACCACCTTTATTGAAAAGTTACATCGATTCAATATATAGTAATACAGGCAAAAATAATTACAGCTTTGCTAGCAGTGTAAGACCTTAATCCAAACCTCCCAAACATTCAATAAAAAGCGATCCAGGCTGGGAATAGGCTTTTGACAGTGCAGCCCCAACGGGGAGTGGAGGTGGGGTGGAAACGGGCAGAGCAGGGTGTGTGAAAAGAGAGAGAAGCCGTGAGATGAGCTGGGGAAAACCAGGTGAGAATTCCAGCCAATATTCCTCCACCAACTCATTCTTTGTTGCAGGAGGAGGTGAGACTGAGAATGAAATGCCAGTGACACAAATTAGGTTTTCCTTGTATCTTCTGTGTTATAGAACTTGCTATATCAGACCATGGAATCACAAAATCCCAGAATCATTTGGATTGGGAGGGACATTAAAACCCATCCAGTCCCACTCCCTGCCAGGGGCAGGAATACCTTCCACTATCCCAGGCTGCTCCAAGCCCCATCCAACCTGGCCTTGAACACTTCCAGGGATGGAGAAGCCACAGCTTCTCTGGAAACCTGTTCATTCCAATACATATATTATTTTATTATTAATATCTCTAATCCTACAGTAAAAAATGTGCTTTCATTTAAAGTTAAACAACTTCCCAGAATGATGCATCTACAAGTTTTCTCAAAATATTTTTGAAGACACATGGCAGAAACTCAGATTTAAGCTTTGCTTTGCTTTGCTGGAAGTTTTCCTTGATTAAAAAAAGTGAAAATACTGTTAATAAAAATAGCATCACAAAAAAGCATTTATGCTGTTATGGACTGGCTCTCTTGGGAACAGAGCTGAAGCTACACTGGCACCAGCCCCTGAATGGCTGAAACTCAGCCGTGCTAAACTGTCCCAGGGGTGCAACCCCTGTGCCCAGATATCCAACAGCCAGGAAAGGCCATCCTGGATGGGGACAAGCCAGGCACCGCCTGTGCAGCTGCTCCTTTACTTGTTTCAGGCAAAGACCCAGCCAGGACAGCTCAGGCAAACCCTTTAAGCTCCTGGAGGCAGCCTGGATGATTTTGCCTGGAGCAGAGCACGAGGATCTGCTCGCCTGGGATAGCTGTGGGATGGAGGCAGCACGGAGGGCACGAGCCCACCTCTTCGTCCAGCCCAGCAGAGCCTGGAGCAGGGCAGAAATCCAAGGCTAAATCAAGTTTTCCTTTCTAAGGCAGGCATAGGGTCAATACCCAGCTCTCCATGTCACTCTGGGACACCACCAGTAGGATTAATTTTGGGATTTGGGGGTAAGGAGAAGGAATGGAACAGCATCCTTGGTGATATCAGATAATCTCTCTTCTAATGCACTCACACATATCCCAAAAACAGGCATGAAAGTGTTTACCTGCTTTATTTAGGTTTTAAAATATGAGGAACAACAGCAAATTCCAAAGCAATTACAAAAGGTATCTGTTTGGCTTTGGGCTGTTGGGTTTCACTTTCCCTTTCAGCTATCTGCTAAAATTGGCAGGAACTTTAGCCCCAGTCAGTAAGAAAATATGAAAATATTTATTTTCCTATTGTACTAAATCACAGACCATATCCACAGTTGTTTAAAAACACAGCTCCAGTAACAGACTTGTGTTAGCTCAGGAACTTGCCCAAAGCACTTTTTAAAACCCTCTCAAGGAAAGGGTGAAATGAATTCTCAGCGGGACAGGGTTTTAAACACACCAATAATTCCACAAATTTCAGTGAACATAAATCTTTGCAGGATTAGAACCTCGCACTGCACCGAGGCCCCTTTGAAAACGTGACTCGCTCATTTGTTCTATAAATACATCTAAACTCAACTTACCCCTCAAAACCTTGGGGAGCAGCACCGGTCCCAGGCAGCTCCAAATGTTGCTGCTGTCGGTTACGAGGAGCAGAGCTGCAATTAAAGGCAGGAGAGTGACTAATAAATAATTTACATAAGCCCAGCGTTCTGGGAGTGTGCCAGGTAGGGCTGCAGTGACTCAGACACGTGGGGGAAACAAAGTGAGGAAGTGAAGCTGTTTCCACTGCAACCAGACTGGCAAAAGCCAGCCCAGGCTTTGGGCCGGGATTCAGGGCTTGGAATTCCCTGGCTCGGTCTTGTCAGTAGCCCAGGGGGCAGTTCCCTCTGCTTCCACGCCTTTCCTCGCTCCCAGCCCTTCCAAGCAGATGAGCAGGGTGGGTGGGGAGCAGAGACCCTGCTCAGTTTTGGTTTATGAAGATGGTTTTGAGTGTTCAGCTTGAGAAGTCTGAATATGGGGACAGTTCTGAGCAATGTCCATCCCCAAGGACTTCTCTCCAGAGATAAGAACTCAAAAATGGGAAGGTTTTTCTGCAAACTCACATGCACTGAATTAACCCTCTCTCTTTTTCATCCATTTAGTAACCCTGGTGGGCCTGGGCTTTTCACAGAATCAGAAAACCATGGAGTGGTTTAGGAAGGGACCTTAAAGCCCACCCAGTGCCAGCCCTGCCGTGGCAGAGACACCTCCCACTGTCCCAGGGGGCTCCAGCCTGGCCTTGGGCACTGCCAGGGATCCAGGGGCAGCCACAGCTACCCTGGGAATTCCCTCCCAGCCCCTCTCACCCTCACAGGAAGGATTTTATTCCTTTTTACCCTGGAATAGCCCTTTGCCCATTGCCTGGGTCACAGTCAGTCCTCACAGTTCTCACTACAGCACCAAAAGATTTAAAGACACCAAAACTCTAATTTGATCTCAGATCAGGCCCTTCCCATGATTCCTGACTGCTCACAGGAGGGCAAAGGGCTCGAATATATTTTGTTCCATAACATTTTGCCACAATTTCATCTTTTTCACTTTTCTTTTTCAGCCATGACTGGTCTTGTCATTCCCCCGATGTAAGGAAGGGGCAGCTTTGCTGCTCTCCCTCCCTCTTCCCTTTTTTCCTCCTTTTTTTTTCATTTTTCTTTTACAGCACAAAACTACTTATTGTGATGGACCACTAAAAAGAAAAAAATAGCACTACAAGCTCTTTTTTGGGGAAAAGCCAGGCCCAGGAAAAAAAAGGAACATTTTTTATGGATTGGACAAGATAGAAGTCTGCATCATTTACCTGTTTCATATTTCTGACACAACCACATCAACTCCTCAAACACTGGGAATGAAGAATCAGCAAGAGCCAGGATGAACAAGACTTGGCAGAATGGAATTAGAAATGCAAAGTCTTTCCTGGAAGACACGAAAACCTTCCTAAGATTTGTAAAATATTCAAAGGAGAAAAAAAGAAATTGGCAAAATGATTCAAGGTTGATATTTTGGATACAATTTGTTTTACTTTGTAGGGGTAAAAAAGTTGAAGTTTCTATTTTCTATGGAGCCTTTCAGATATCGATTTAGTTTATGCAGAAAAACAATTCAACAAAACAGGGTACCAGCATGAAAGAATTTCTAGGACAAACTGACATGAATGATGGAACTTTGGTGTATGTGTGTATTTGCTTATAGTTTAACCTCTTTAAAAAATGTAAGATGTTTTACAATTATTTAAATAAATAAACTTGTAACTTATTGTACGTAGAGGTAGAAATTAAACCCTGTTTTGGATTTTTTCCTCCAGTTGTACAATGAAGACAGATGATGCAAAAATGTAGTGATAAGTTTGAGATATATTATTACTGCTGCAATTGCTCCTCACTTTCCCCCCCTCTTACTGAATTCATGTGCAAGGATGTATAGGATTCTTTCTGATTAACAAAACCCTCAGAAACTTTTACCTACATTGTGGTAAACAGCTCATGTAGGAATTTTTCACCCTCCTCGTCTTTCCCCCCTTTCCATTTTTTGCTTCAATTAAAATATTCAGGTACTAAGATTAACTGCTAAGTCTCAAAGACCCAGCTGACGAGTGAGTGGCACTTAGGGATTTGAGTGAATCGGATTTTTCATGAGGTACTGAGTTTATTTTATAGATTCAATGTATGAATTAGGAGGGGAAGGGTTCTCTGGGGTTTTCCATGTAGTTAGAACACCTTAAGTTCAGTTATGCTTCATATTAAGGGTGCATTTAAAAGGGTGAACATGTATTTGAATGATTTATGCACTTTTATCCTGAGTCATTAAAAATGGTAAGTATTTGCCAGTTATATATTGAAGTTCATAGAGGTAATAAATTGCTTTGAATTTTTCTGCATTTTAGCCTAAAAAAAGAGTTTAATTCTCCTTTGCATCTCCTCTCCTGAAATCGGAAGGTGAGGAAAAGTTTGATAAAACAAATACTGAATTATTTCAGAGAGCATTCAAAAGAATTTGGTTGTTGGAAAGCCATTTTTAGTGGGGAGAAAAATAAAAATCAGCTACACTACAGAGACCCCTCTAACATTCAAAAGAATTTGGTTGTTGAAAAGCCATTTTTAGTGGGGAAAAAAATTAAAAATCAGCTACACTACAGAGACCCCTCTAAAATCCACACAATTAATGGCTGCATGGACAGTTGCTCCTACAGAAACATCTTGATTTTAATCAATAAAACCTAAATAATGCCCCAGGATCTGAACTTGTCCATTTGCCCAGTAGTTTTATGGATGGGTAAGGAAAACTGTGTTCTTGGTGATCTTTAGGGATGGTAGAAGTTGAGCTGGGCTCGAGATGGTGAAACTGGCCCAGCTCACATGGCTGAGCTCTCTTGGAGCTGTTGTGGAGCTAACTGGGGTTAGGAAGAGCCCAAACTCCTCTCTGCAGCTGCACAGCTGGATGGTGACGAGAGGCTGACGGGGTGACCTGAGGGACCCTCACCTGAAGGACAGGGCTTGGGCACAGGGCAGCCTGTGCAGGGCATGGAACCAGAAAATCCTGGAACGGTGGCGTTGGAAGGGACCTTAAAGCCCACCCAGTGCCACCCCCTGCCAGGGACAGGGACACCTCCCCTGTCCCAGGGTGCTCCAAGCCCCAGCCTGGTCTTGGGTGCTGCCAGGGACTGAACAAAGCTTCCAAGGATGGGACCAGCTCCTCCAAGTTCCCTTTCCTGAGGCAGTGCACAGCTCAGTTTATGGGATAAAACCATCCACTGCACGTGGAGTTCTGAAGGAGATCTCAGAGGGACTGGAGACACCAGCTGGGCTGCTCTGGCCATTCCTAAAGAAGTCCCACTTCTTGGGAAGGAGTGTTGTGCTCCTGACTGTGCTGTGAGGTTTGGCAGGGTCGTCATTTGGTGCCTTCTCAATGCCATTGAGTCCCGTTTTAAAAAGGTGGAGGAGGGTAAATCTCTTCTAAAACCCAAGGCCCAACTTATATCAGCAAAAATGACAATTTAAAGAGAGATTTGGTGGGAATAATGTGGGTTTAAGAAACATGGATATAATTAGTATTTCACAGTCAGGCTACTGAAACTGTCTGAGTTCCACAAAAAATGAATTAAAATAAATCTCTGTTAGTTATGGCTGCAGGTTGATTGTCCTCACGGGTTCTCTGCGTGCCCCTCGTGCCACCAAGGATGTGGCAGCCACTGGAGGTCAACCAGCATCCCTGGAACCAAGTGAGCTCTGAAATATCAAAGGATCATAGATGTTAAAAAGTCTGGAGTTGTCAGTGTATCTCTGAAAACACAACAGGGTGCAGGGTCTGACCTGGATGTTCCAAACAGCAAAACAGCAACAACAAAACCCCCAAAATATTTCATATATTCATAGGTACTGATATCCCAGCAGGGCTAAGTAGGAAGTCCAAATTCATGTTTGGAATTATGCATTTATCCAGGGATAAAAATGGATTAAGGACTGGAAGAGCTGGGATCAAAACTTCCATACTTTTCAGTAAAAACACATTGAGTCCTAATTGCAAAAATTACCTTGGTGGACCGGGTTCATTCTGTCAAATCCCTTCCTCCATTCCCACCTACTAAAAACCCCAAACAGCTCCGAAGCATGAAGATGGTGAATATTCCCCCTGCCCTTCTCTGTACAGGCTACTTCTAAAACTGATCCTCAAACAGACTCAATATTCTGTCTGGCAAATATTCCAGATCAATAGGAATTTCTAGACCACCTGCTGGAGAGCAGCAGTTTGCTACCTTAAATCCTGCTCTTTTTTCTTAACAAATGGGATTTTCATTACAAAATCTCAGTCAGGAAAGTTTCCAATTGAAAAAAAAAAAGGAGATATTTCATGGGAAAAGCTGGGTTTTGTCCATCCTTCTGTTTTATTTTTGCTTAGTCAGCACAGGTACATGAAAGGAATATCTACCACATCACTGAAATCTTGGGAAGATTCAGGGGTGAAAATGACAGTCTGGCAATAAAAACAATAAAAATAATTTTTAAAAAAAGGAAACTTTCTGGAACACTGAACATTCCCTTCACACTTCAGTTATTTTTACTAGTTCTGTCCAGTTGCCCAGTTGCCATGAGTCCAAGTGAAAAAGAGAAACCTCCCTGAAAAGCTGCTCCAAGCATTTGCAGAAGAGGAATTGCCTATGTTGATGCAAATATGAAAAATCTGGTTTGCTTTGAGCAAAAAAAAACCAAAACAAAACAAAAAAAAAAAACCCCAAAAAACCCAAAAAAAAAAAAAAAAAAAACCCAACAAATTAAACTTAGGAATTATTTAGAACATGGATTTTGCTCATGCAGGGAAATCATGGTACTAGAGATGAGTGTAGAATTAATTGAGGTTTATAGAGAAAAACACCTTTAAATAAACACAATCAGAGATCCTTGGCCATGAAAAAGGAGCTTGGCAGTGGCAAAACACTCAACAAAAAGGGCAAAGATGATTCCAGAATTGATGTGTAAGAATTTTTTCACTGTAACAAGAAAACCTGTCCTCTTTGAGTGGTTGCTGTTGACAATTCCCTGAGAGTTTTCCTCTTTGCCACTGGGAAGATGAAAGTGTTGCAACAGGCAATGACAAATTTCATCATAACTTTGGCAGAGCTGGTTTGATCTCCTAATTTATCTTGGTAGAGCATCTTCCTCTCCCTCTTTCTTTGCACACTTCCAATATGCATGGTTTCTCCAAACCCTTCCTCCCTCCTGTAATTTAAGGCCTCATTTCTCCCTCCTGTATAGTTTTGGGGTTTGTTTGGGGTTGGCTGGTTGTTTTTTTTTGGGTTGTTTTTGGGTTTTTTTTTTTTTTTGCTTTGTCAGTTATATACAGTATGAAGTTGCTATGCACAGAGCTTTTGTAAAGATAGCTTTTTTGGTTTTTTTGTTTACTGTTTTTAATGGTCCTACTTATGGAAGAATATCTTGTTTGTAAAATGAGTATGTCTACTTCAGTTTTAAACTTTAAATTATCCTAACAAAAAAAAAATAAAATTTTTGTACTGTAAATAAGGGGGGAATTATCTTAATTTCAGAGTGTTCAATCTGCTTCTTTATCATCTTTATGGGTAACAATAACACTTAAAAATGGTATAAAATGTTATGTGAGAGTTTTTAAATCAAGATTTGAAGATTTGCTTGTAAAACCTCCAGCCACATTTGGGAGAGCCAGGTTGAGATTATGCTGGGCATGGAATAATAGGATAATTAATGGCCTTTTCTGACCATTCCTTTATTACAAATGGACAACACCTGTGTGAGAGTTCAGTCCTTTCTGGAGGGGGGAAGGACTCAAAGGGTTGGACAGGGGGAATTTGGACACCTTCCCTTTTTGTTATGAGTATACAGTTGGTCAAAGAACAAAATCAAAATTAAAAACTGGGACTGGCTGATCCTGGCCTCTCCCTGGACTAAATTTGGGGTTGGTCCTGTTTTAGGCATCTTCTTTGTGCAAAATTCTGAGCAAACAACAAACTGATGTTGCAGAGGTGAATCACATTGGCTCCCAAAAATAATTTGGATATGTTTACTCCCTCTTGTGCAGAGTGCATGTCTCAGCCACAGGGATGAACAAAACAGAGTGCTGAAAGCTGCTTGGAAAACAGTAATTGGCCATTTGAACCAGGAATATTCCATTTTCTTCAATGAAAATTACTGGAAAGGTTCAAACAAATGAAATTTTAATGATGAAGGTCACTTTTACTGACATTTTCGACAGAATGTGAGTCAGTATTTAAATTACTGCCAGATGTCAGTGAAAGCATCTGAAAACATGAGGCACTATCAGCTCAAAGCTGAGGAGAAAACAGAGGGTTTTGGTGACCTGCAGCCATTCCTCCTTTCAGGATAACGTGCAATCAGCAGATGACCTTCATCCCAGCACTGAAACCAGGTCCTGATGAAATATCCTTCATCTCCTCTTGAACAGAGGCCCATTCTCCTGAAAATCTTATTCAGCTCTTTTTCCCCCCTAAGAAGTCCCAGCAGTATTTTAAGTGATGACTTTGGTGATAAAAGCCCCGGTTCCTGTGAAAGAGATTCTCAGATTGAACAGGGCCCTACTGTTGTGCTGCAGGGAGGAAGTGTGCTGGGCAGATGAAAGCTGGAGATCTGCTGCTCCACTCCTGCTTTCCTTACATCTCTTAAGGACTTGATGATGGACAGACACAAACACGAGCCTGGGATGTGTCACCCTCTGAGCTGGAGCCTGAGCAACTTCCAAACAAAATGCTGAGGGAGGGAAGAAGGAGATGTATGAGAGTTTCAGACCAAAAAATCAAGTTTTTGACTCAAATAAGCACATGAACAACTGCTTCCAAGCCCAAGTAGCTCAGATTATCTAGGATTATCTGCACAGAAATGTCTTGAAAAACAAAGAAAAATTCTCTAGGATCATTGTCATGAACATATTTCATTTATCAGTCTTACTCCATTCTTAAAAAAACATTGTGAAAAGAGGTTTTATGGTCAATGTTAAGACCAATAAAGGCTTGAAACCTCCCCACTTGTTAAATCCTTGGCTCACCAGGTTTTACAGGAAGATCAGATGTTCAGCCTTCCCTCCAAGGTTGCTGCCACCCTCTGGGAAGAGGTGAATGACTTTGGTCACACCAGACACAGAAAGTGGCCCTTTTCCAAAGGCAAAGTGTCTGGCTCGCTGTGAATTTATAGAGTATCAGGAAGAGCAAAGGAATATTCCTCCCAAGAGCAGTGACAGCGGGAATTCTAGGAGTGGTCAGTGATCGTGCAGGTTGTCCTTCCCCAGGGAGGGGACAGTCACATCTGGGCATGGCCAGGTTGATCTGCCTTGGCTCAGAAAGGCCACCTAGAACAGCACATCCTCTCCCACCCTATTTTTGTTTTTGGTTTTGTTTTGTTTTGTTTTCTTTCCACGTATTTTCTAGATGGAAAAAAAAATTTGAATTCCACTTCAATAAATGGTGAAACAAAAGCCACTCCTTCAGCCACTTGTGCAGGGCAGGCAGGGAATTGCCAGCCCAGTTAAAATATTTATCTCTGTGACAACACACAGCTGCTGAGGTGCAGAGATCTG